TAAATAATGGCAGCATCATGCTGCCTCCAGTGCAGAGCTTGATCAATAATGGCAGCATCATGCTGCCTCCAGTGCAGAGCTTGATCAGCAATGGCAGCATCATGCTGCCTCCAGTGCAGAGCTTGATCAGCAATGGCAGCATCATGCTGCCTCCAGTGCAGAGCTTGATCAACAATGGCAGCATCATGCTGCCTCCAGTGCAGAGCTTGATCAACAATCAGAGCTGTTAAAACTACTGATTGAACTACTTTACTAAAAAAAAAGAAAACAGTACAGGCTCTACATTGTACTTGTGAAATTAAGTGTCTTCTTTAAATTATAAAATCTCTTTCATTCTAGGAACAGATAATGAGTTAATTTTCCTCCTTTTCTCACTGTGTTGGTAGAGAAGCAATGAAATAAACTGACTCATTCAAGTTTTGTTCTAAATTCTAATCTCAGACAGGATGATATAAACTGAACTGAACCTCAGTCCTTGATGAGCAGCTGAATATTTCAGAGCTCTGATATTTACAGCATTAAAGCTGCAAACAGCATTAAAATGAAAATAGAACTAGAAACATAATCATCATGTAAATGAAAAACCTCCTAAAGGGGGAATAGATGGAGAATGTCCTGCTTCCCAGAATCTGATCCATCATCTGCAGTGTTTTCCAGCCTCCTGTCTTCATCCATGTCTCTATCAGGGTTTTTCTATAACCTAACTGGGCTCCAGATGGTCACATTCTATTCTCTGTTTTCCTGCTTAGTTGCAGCTGTTACATCATGTCTTTATCAATATAGTTTCATATCAATATAGATCATGTTTTATGATCTAGTTTCTTAGAAGTAATCATTAAAATCAGCAAAAGACTAGGAACTCTAACTCATGAAATTTAGGATTTTATGGGATCTCATAATAAAAATAAATAGAATCATATAAGTAAAAATAAAACTAATGGAAATTACTGAACAAATACTAAGAGGAAAATACAGAAGGAAATCTAAAATGTAACGTCAAATATTATCCATAAAGTCAGAACTCCTCCCTGTGAGTCAGAAGTGAAAGCTCTTGTTCTGTTGTCAGGTTACTGTCCCTCCCCTTAACTCCTCCTACCTGCCCAGCCTCCATTTCAGGTGAAGTTCTGACTGCAGGTAAACTGGTTCTACTGGTTCTGCTTTTCTGCCTCCATCTCAGTCTGTTTTCTTCAGACCTTCATCTGCTCGCTGCTTCGCCTAAAGACGCCGTAAGTTTAACTATTTAACTTTGTTTCATAGTAAAAGTTGAAGTTTAATCATTTAACAGTCTGTTTCTGCTTTCTGTGTTTTTTAGAAAACATTCTTCTTTTAATCCAGACCAAAGTTTTAATTTTACTGTAAATGAAGGAAAATCTCCAGGATTACTAGATTATTCTCTGAAACAGTCGACATGAGGAGCAGATGATGTTTGTTCTTCACTTTAAAAATTTCTTCTTTTTCAGGTCTTTAGATCAAACTTTCATTTTCTCCTTTAATGACGATCAACAAGCAGAGCAGCTGCTTCCTGTGGAGCCTTTCATAATAAGAGCATTAATATTATTAAATATCAATTTTTATTAAAATATACATTTCCTTGTATTAAACTGTCTGCAGCTTTAATAGAGCATAAAATCCATCTGTTTAGTTTGATGGTTTAGAAACACATCAGGTCCAGATGTTCTGAGTTTCTGATGCACCAAGAAGTATTTTTAATGACACTAGTAGCTCGTTTTTTTGTACAGTAGGCTGACAGGAAAGGTGTTAGGAGAGAGGGGGGGGGGGGCATGTGGCAAAGGACCACAGGCCGGATTCGAGGCCCCGTCCAGGACTAAGGCCTCCATGGGTCGTTGGCCCTAACACTGCACCACCGTAGCACGCCCATAATGCAGGAAGAAGTTTGACTGAATAATATTTAAGATCTTAGAGTGCTGGAGTCTGAAATTCATTCACTTTCATTCCAAACTATAATGATCTAATTATTTTAAAAATGGTTTAATTTCTGACAAATTTCATCATTCCTTTGTTTTAGTTTTTAATGTTCGATATACTTTAGTATCACATCTTTATTTCTGTAATAGATGGTAAACAGCTACTGTATCCTACAGGTGGGAATCAGTGAATGTTAATGTAGCTTCATCCTGTGTTCTTGGCTGCAGCTGCAGGTGTGTGAGCTGATGTGAAGTGAGCAGCATGGATCAGTGTGAGGACAGAGAGGACAGAGTCCCTCCCTCTAAAACCACTCTGTGTGGAGAACATGAGGACCAGAGCAAAGCTCAGAGGTCAGATCACCATCTCTAACTGTCCAGGACTATTCTCCATGTCAGAGCTCAGCATGAACATCAACAAACCATCTTTATTCACAGGAAACCAGCACAACCAGAACCTGGACCAGAACCAGAACCTGGACCAGAACCAGTACCTGGGCCAGAACCAGAACCTGGACCAGAATCCAGCTGTGTGTCTTTAAAGAGCAACAGGTCAAAGGATGCCATCATTGATTTTAAATCAGACCAACCTTCATCAGCAAACAGGTGAGCTGTTTCTAAATGTTCCACTAATCAGTTTAACTTCATTCCAACATATTAATGTGAACTCAACTCTTTCTCTCATGTCTGTGTTCACATGTGAAGCAGTGAGTGATGGAGGCTAAATAATGGAAATAATCAAAGGATTGTTTTATTGTGATGATATGAAATGATCTTGTTAGATGATATTGGAGCTAAAATTAGTTGTTCTTCATCCAGTTGAATCTTTCTGGATCACCTTGTGTCACATTAGTGAACCAGAGTTGGTGCTTCTGCAGAGCTTAAGGTGATGCACATGTAGGCAAGTCGTGATGCTGATTCAACTATTAGATGGAAACTAAATCTGATGGAAAACATGATCTCTCACTGTTATCTGCAAACATCAGTGAAATCAGCAGCTTCTAAAGTTCATCTGTGTTCATTCAAAATGATCATCAGTCTGATTATTAGCAAACTGCTCCACAGTCTCCTTCAGCAGCCGCTACATGTCATCAGAAATACAAGATCATTGACCTGCTGCTGGGAGGACGATTGATGATAAGAACAAGATGAAGCTTTGATAGGAAACTTAGTGTGGATTACTACATTAATGAAAGGTCCTTGAATGCACCACCATGGTCTGTATTACCATAAAAAACTGAACAGTGTCATGATCTTATCTAAGGCTCGAACCCACATGCAGAGAAGCCAGTACAGAGACACCAAGAGAAAGGTTTAACAGTTTATTTAGAAATATATGGTGGAATATCCCGTGAAGCTCTATACACAGCTTAGCCCGAAACTGCAAGATGTGAGGAAGGTCCTGCGGTTAGTTCAGGTTCAGTGGGAACGTTCATTAAGTGATACTATTCCTACACCTAACCCTACACCTAACCCTAACCCTACACCTAACCTGTCCCTATGGGGCAACCAGCCTCTTTTCATAAACCTACACCTAACCCTAACCCTAACCCTATTGGGATATAGTCTTAATATGACCATCTCATTCCAAGGCTTATGAACCCAGCATTAATTTAAACTTTATCTTTTGTGATGCAGTCTTAACATGACCATCTCATTTCAAGGTTTATTACATAACATTTTTTTAAACTTTAAACTTACCTTTGGGGATGCTGTCTTAACATGACCATCTCATTCCAAGACTTATGAACCAAGCATTAATTTAAACTTTATCTTTTGTGATGCAGTCTTAACACGACCATCTCATTTCAAGGTTTATTACCTAACATTTTTTAAACTTTAAACTTACCTTTTGGGATGCAGTCTTAACATGACCATCTCATTTCAAGATTTATTACCTAACATTTTTTAAACTTTAAACTTACCTTTTGGGATGCTGTCTTAACATGACCATCTCATTCCAAGACTTATGAACCAAGCATTAATTTAAACTTTATCTTTTGTGATGCAGTCTTAACACGACCATCTCATTTCAAGGTTTATTACCTAACATTTTTTAAACTTTAAACTTACCTTTTGGGATGCAGTCTTAACATGACCATCTCATTTCAAGATTTATTACCTAACATTTTTTAAACTTTAAACTTACCTTTTGGGATGCTGTCTTAACATGACCATCTCATTCCAAGACTTATGAACCAAGCATTAATTTAAACTTTATCTTTTGTGATGCAGTCTTAACGTGACCACCTCATTTCAAGGTTTATTACCTAACACTTTTTAAACTTTAAACTTACCTTTTGGGATGCTGTCCTAACACGACCATCTCATTCCAAGGTTTAATAACCTAGATTTAATTTTAAAATTTATATTTTAGGATATAGTCTTAACATGGCAATCTCACTCCAAGGTTAATTAACATACACTTAATGTTAAACTTTATCTTTGGTGATGCAGTCTTAACATGACCATCTCACCCTAATATGCTTGGTATTAAGCCCTCTTTTAAAACTCCAAGATTTATTAATCTGATATATTTGGAGATAATGCCTTAACATGATATGCTTGGTATTAAACCCTCTTTTACATTAAAGGTCTCCTTTTAAACACCTGATGAGAAACCTTAAATTAGTAAATTAATACCATAATATGATCACTCCTCACTAATTTCTATAAAATCCCTTACACCCTATTTACACTGAAATTATCAAAATCTTAATCTTAAGTAACAAAACTCCAACCAATATTAGACCTAAAAAACATTTATAAAAAAAAAAAAAAAAAAAAAAAAAATTTCCCTCTTCCCCCCCCCTTCCTCAGTTTAGAACTGCAGGGAGTGGAGGGGGCAGAGTTTACATGCCAGACCGGCAGGGGTCGACTTAGCCCATTCCAGGGCGGTTTACCCTGACTCTGCTCCCTCCATTAAACTAAAATGAATATACTTACCTTCAATTAATCATAACCGCCACCCTTATACTACACTTATAGCACACATTACCTTACCAGACCAATTAGCTACTAACCCTAATATTAGTGGAATCCATGCCTAACCCTAAAACCGGACCCTTGCCTTAAAACTACACTTAGCCAGTCCCTAGCCTTGACACTTGCCCTAAACCTAATTTAAGCCCTTACTATCACCTTACCAGACCAATTAGCTACTGACCCTAATATTAGTGGAATCCATGCCTAACCCTAACACCTGACCCTTGCCTTAAAACTACACTTAGCCAGTCCCTAGCCTTGACACTTGCCCTAAACCTAATTTAAGCCCTTACTATCACCTTACCAGACCAATTAGCTACTGACCCTAATATTAGTGGAATCCATGCCTAACCCTAACACCTGACCCTTGCTTTAAAATTACACTTAGCCGGTCCCTAGCCTTGACACTTGCCTTACTCTAAAAGCTAACCCTAGTTCTTGAAGTTTTACAAACTGGTTTGACTATGGATCTAAGAGATACCAACAAACGTGCGTGGGCCCGTGCATTGCCTTTGATCCCCTAGCCAACTGCTCAGGCCGTCGGGCTGAGTGGGGGGGGGTCATCGAGAGAGTGTCTAACGACTAACCCTAACCCTATTGTCCCCATGTCCAAAAATGTCCAACATGTCCAAAACGTCCCCCATGTCCAAAAATGTCCAAAATGTCCCCCATGTCCAAAAATGTCCAAAATGTCCCCCGTGTCAAAAAATGTCCAAAATGTCCCCCATGTCCAAACATGTCCAAAATGTCCCCCATGTCCAAAATGTCCCCATGTCCAAAAATGTCCAAAATCTCCCCCGTGTCCAAAAATGTCCCCCGTGTCCAAAATTTTGGAGCTGTAAAAATTTTACATATGACCATGTCCATATGACTCAGGAGACTCCAAAATACACTGTGGTAAGTTTCCCATAGCAACCTCCGACAACAACACTTAGAGCAATTTTTACTGTTTTGGAAAACTTCTCCAACCAGGGCAAATGACATGTCTGCGGACTTCAAAAATGAATGGGAGTCTATGGCAGCTATAGGAAGGGGAGGGGCCAGGACCACCATACTTGGTGGGAAGGTGGGACGGCCCAGGGGGAGTATACACACCAAGTTTGGTGAGATTGGCACCCATACTTTTTGAGTTATTGAGAGTGCCCGATTTTTTCCGTTGTATGGGAGTCAATGGCAGCTATGTCAAGGAAAGGGGCCACACCCACCAAACTTTAATAGAATGTGGGTCCCCCCCATGGGTCCCTCTGAGCCCAGTATGGGCCCCATACCTCTTTTACTTTGAGTTATTGAGAGTGCCCGATCGGATTTTCTGGTTTTCATCCATTATCCTAACCCTAACCCTACACCTAACCCTAACCCTTGAGAATGTAGGGGCAGTGATAGCCACCCTAACTATATAGGGGCAGTTATAGCCACGCTAACTACGTAGGGGAAGGTGATAGCCATGCTAACTATGTAGGGGCAGTGATAGCCACGCTAACTATATAGGGCCATGATAGCCACGCTAACTATTTAGGGGCAGTGATAGCCACACTAACTGCCCCTATAGATAGCCACACTAACTGTGTAGGGTCAGTGGTAGCCCATTACT